AATGTTTTCCGGGACTAATGATTTCAAATATTATATTTCGTGGTAAGTTTTTAGAAGAGAGGCCATACGAGTATTTTAATATTTTTGAAACATATTTCTCTCTGTGTCACTTGCAAAATAATAAGATGAGGGCAATTCGACATTGTCATTGCCGTAGAAAGGCCAATCAATTTGAGGAACAAATAATGCTACCAACATGCCGTGGGCAATGCCTACACTTCCAGATTAAACATTTCCGTTGGGCCCTTATCTTACGAGATTGAGTTGTTTGATCCTGATCTGACTCAAGTTGCAGTTTGGTAGCTTATTTAAGAAATACATATTTTCTAAAGAGGCCAAACAGATTTGTATTTGCGGAAAGCTTGGATGTAAGGCAGAGGGTTATATTCTTCCCTAAGGAAAACAAAACTAAATCACCTACAGACAAAGGATTACATATGGTAAGAATTGCGGTTGCAAGAAGTGGTGACCATTATTAGTAACAAAATTAGCTTGTTACAAAATGTTCGGTTACAAGCAGAATAGGCCTGTTAGAGTATAACTCCATAATAAGCTTTTCAGGCTTTCAGCAATAGCTGATTTGTGGAGCTGAAAGACTAAAAAGCGCTAAGGCTGAAGCTGCATAGCAGGTGTTTCAGGCGTTGCAGCTTTCGAAGTCGTTCAGTCCTTACATTTACAGGCTTTTCATGCGAGCAACTCCTCAACAAGCTTTACGCACTTGAAGTTTCTTTACATTACACATGCAGTAAATATTTGAAAACATTCTCATTATAGTATACTCTAATCTTTGAATTTTCTCTTTTTAAAATTTAAAATGATTATTTTATAAAATAGTAAACAACTTAGTAGCAAATTATATAAATTATTTTGTTGACAAATACCAAGAAGTGTTGGGATGAGTTTTCCGCCAAATGGGATATCGACTATATAATTAGAGTTCGATAAAAGTGATACTTCTTTTACTGTTTAATTTTAATTGATTCACTACTTTTGTTCCCTTTTTAACCGACTTCACAAAAGGGAGAAGGTTATGAATTCGTCGGAATATTTTTTATTTTTTATTTTTTATGTATGTTACCGTTAACTGATTTCAATTATTGTTTTTTTATAGGAAAGGTGTTACCTCACAGGTGGCCCCATCCTAATTTAGTTTAAATCCGATCATTGGATTATGAAGAAATTAACGATAACCTTAAATTTTTATATGAGAATTGAAATCGGTTTTGTTTTTTGTTTAAAAATTGCTTGTTCATATTAATGTTCAAACAATAAATAATTTTGCATTTTATTGCCTAAACTTTGTATAAAATTCCTTTTAAATATGGTTAGTGTTATCGATTACGCCATTGTAATGTTCGAATGAATAACTGTCAGACGACGCCTGAAAAGCCTACAAAGCATGAAACAACTTCAAAAGTTGGCATCTTTCTGGTTTTTGGGACCTCGGTTGTGGAGCTGCTTCTATTCAATGGCACTAAATCATCTTTCCGGCTTGAGTGCCTCAAGCCGCAATGCCTGAAAAACCTGCTTCAGCTTAAATGCCTGAAAGGCTTGTTGTGGAGTTGCACCCTTATGTTTTCCAGATATGAATGTTTCGATACTTTTCGGCATACTCCGTATTTTACTTTTACTTTTATATAGCAAATGCGGAGCAGATGACAAAACAACCTCTTGATCTTCCCATCCTCATTAGAAATGACCCACTGGTTGCTTACAGTCCTATCTGCTCCTCGAAGACCGATACCTATTTTTGCCTACCTGCAACCTCTAAACGCTATCCAGTCCTGAACTGAAGCGCACCTAGGCAATTGGTTAAATTGGTTAAATTTTACTTTTTAAAATTTCCAGAAGTTGTTCACTTATCCTTCATATTTTGGTATAGTAAATTTAAATCTGTCAACCGTTTCTTCTTATAAGCTTTTATTTTTCCACCAAGAACTTCATACACGGACGAAGGATGCTCTGAGGAATTCAAGATCGTGCTCCGCATGCAGGCGGAAGAGTTTCCAGTTTGGCTTCATGGGATCCCTATAAATATGGTTAGTTTTGCGCTTGCTAATTTAATTCACGCCCTATCGGGAGAGGTGCGTCAAATAGACCATCGTTAAATTGAAAAGCGGAAGTCGAACATAAAACACAGTACGTCCCGGAAATCCATATCAAAATCAGTAGCTTTTCTTGCAATCAATTTGATTCGTTGCGTAGTTTTTAATCAACCAAACTGATGAAAATATTACAAGAATGTGTACCACAAAGATTTCCGTACATACATACATATCCCTCACTCTTTCTTTCATCTTCATTCATATTTTTTTTGTTGCGATGCATGTGGTATTTCCTTATGAAATTAGAAAAACCGTCTGCTGGAAACCAGCAGAGCGCAAAGAAACTTTGCAGAGTCTGCGCACCAAAACAGCACCAATCTCTAAGATTTGTGACCGCACATAGCCAGTAACTTCACGGCCAATTGGATTTTTCAATTAGCAAAGTGACAAGTTGCTGGTACTTGGAAAACGAAATAACACCGTTACCAGCGAGCGTTGGGAGTGCATAAAAGCGAAAAGCGAAGTGGTCAGCAGCAAATTACTGGACGATTAACATAAATAGGGCCTCTACTCCCTACCTACGCGCACACTACAGTTTCAAAGCTGCATTGAAAATAGCGCAGCGGACTTGAAACGCGTCAACGAACAGGTACTTGTACAAGGACGACGACTGCAAAACCGAAAAATTGCAATAAAGCGCAGCGGCTCTGGCCTGCTGTGCATGGAAAATGACAGCTGTGAGTTTGCGAAGAAAATTGCGCCCGCCATGGACGTGGACTTGCATCAGTATAGGATACATTATTTTACTGGGCTATGTGTTGCAGTTTGCCGTAAGTGCACATGTACCGGCCGCATTGGTGGCACAGTCGGATGGAGCAGTTGCAATTATTGCCAGGATACAGCCGACGTACGATGACTTGCAGGTAGCTGGCTCAGAGAAGGATGAGAAAAAAGAAGAGGAAGAAGAAGCAGAGGAGGAGGAAGAAAAGGAGGAGTCGTATGAGGAAAAATCTGTGGAAGAAAAGCATAGTGAACATAAAAAGAAGAAGGGTGAGAAGGGTAAGAAAGGGCACAAGGAGGAGGAGCACCATGAGAAGGGCGAGAAGGGACATCACGATAAGGAGGGTAAAAAAGGTGAGAAGGAGGAGGAACATGGACATGAAAAGAAACATAAAAAAGATGAAGGCCACCACAAGAAACACAAGAAGGGGAAAAAGGGCGAGAAAGGACATGAATTCGAAGATCATGGCTCATACAAGAAGGGCCATTCCATTAAGGGCAAACATCATGTGCACAAGTTGAACGAGGATAAAAAGGAGAAAAAGTACTATGACGAACACCATGACGAAGGTGAAGAAGAGAAACACGGCGGTTTTGAAGAGGTGAAGAAACACAAAAAAGGTGGTCACCATAAAAAGGGCGGCCACAAGAAAGGCGCACACGAGGATGAGTATGGCAAGAAAGGACACAGTAAGAAAGGCCATAAGAAGAAGGGACATAAGGGACATAAAAAGGAGCATGAAGAGAAGAAGAAGTGGGGCGAAGAACATGAGGGCGGTAAAAAGAAGGGCAAAGAGGAGAAAAAGAAATGGAAGAAGTCGGAGAAGAAGGAGAGCAGCAGCAGTGATGGTGGCCATGGACACGAGTGGTAAATGTAAGTGGCAGTTTGCTATGATAGCAGCGGTAGTACGATGGGCTTTAGTAAAAATAATAAGTATTCGTATGAGAGTTAGTATTTTTTTTTGCTTTCTGGTGTTGGTAACGTAGCTTTGGTTTTGATATGTAGTATATGTATTATTGTAAGTTTTGCATAGCAGAGACCAATAAATAAGAATCCAAAATCAAGGTGGTAGCGACCAAAAAGTGCAGCTTTCGACGAGAGAGCTTTGAAATGTTTTCCGGGACTAATGATTTCAAATATTATATTTCGTGGTAAGTTTTTAGAAGAGAGGCCATACGAGTATTTTAATATTTTTGAAACATATTTCTCTCTGTGTCACTTGCAAAATAATAAGATGAGGGCAATTCGACATTGTCATTGCCGTAGAAAGGCCAATCAATTTGAGGAACAAATAATGCTACCAACATGCCGTGGGCAATGCCTACACTTCCAGATTAAACATTTCCGTTGGGCCCTTATCTTACGAGATTGAGTTGTTTGATCCTGATCTGACTCAAGTTGCAGTTTGGTAGCTTATTTAAGAAATACATATTTTCTAAAGAGGCCAAACAGATTTGTATTTGCGGAAAGCTTGGATGTAAGGCAGAGGGTTATATTCTTCCCTAAGGAAAACAAAACTAAATCACCTACAGACAAAGGATTACATATGGTAAGAATTGCGGTTGCAAGAAGTGGTGACCATTATTAGTAACAAAATTAGCTTGTTACAAAATGTTCGGTTACAAGCAGAATAGGCCTGTTAGAGTATAACTCCATAATAAGCTTTTCAGGCTTTCAGCAATAGCTGATTTGTGGAGCTGAAAGACTAAAAAGCGCTAAGGCTGAAGCTGCATAGCAGGTGTTTCAGGCGTTGCAGCTTTCGAAGTCGTTCAGTCCTTACATTTACAGGCTTTTCATGCGAGCAACTCCTCAACAAGCTTTACGCACTTGAAGTTTCTTTACATTACACATGCAGTAAATATTTGAAAACATTCTCATTATAGTATACTCTAATCTTTGAATTTTCTCTTTTTAAAATTTAAAATGATTATTTTATAAAATAGTAAAC